GAAAGAGTGTCCTGAGATGATGGAACTGCGATTAATGCAAAAGAATGATAGCGTTTAATTTTGTTTGCAATATGCTGCTTCAAGCTTTGACCGAACACCGGGGCATGACAAAGACCCGAAAGACCGCATCGCACCTGCCATGGCAAAAGCATGCTTGTGTTCCGAGGGCATCATCGTTCTCATCAATGCGGGCATTGCTGCATGGACCGAGAGTAAGGCAGGCGATGCCCTTGAAGCGCCACTTTGCTCCAAAAAAATGCTGCATGCTCTCCGTTTGCCTGCTTTGGACTTGGTAAGTGATGTTTGGACCGTGCTAAACATGCGCTAAACTACTGGGTGGCCCCAAATGGTACTATATCACACCACATCACACGGTGTCATATCCTTTGCCAGGAGGTTCACATTGGCCAGCCCCAACAATCACTTGGGACTTGGGACTCTGGAATTGTATGAGAAGCTTCCGATAAGAGACGAGAATTAGTGCTCTTGGAGCATTGCCTCCGTTTCTCGAGATACAGATACCTTGAATATCTTTGACTGCCTCAGGCACAGCAAGCTTCAATTGTATTGCAAAAAATGGAGGATTTCATTGTTGTTTCCACGAAGTCAAGCTTCTTGCTGCCTAGGCTGTCGAAGATGACCCAAGCCAACATCTATGCGCAGAACTCGACAGTTGCGTTTAATTCAGATACTGTATCAAGAATCAAGAGTTATGATGAGTTATGGAGATCACATGAGATCATAGAGTTTGCAATGATGCGTCCACGTCCTTGTGATTCAGACGTTTTGAACATGCTTACACACCTTGTCACCTTGTCCAATGCCGTACCAAACCCTGGCCATACCAGCCTGCTTGTTCTCTTTCAGGTGCTGCGCGACGGCAAGGAAGTTCAGGTGGCCGTACCCACAGTCGTGGCAGGGGATATCGTTGCTTGCCTGGAGCTTCAACTTCCCCGGGGATCCCTGGGTCCAAAGGCCCTAAGGGGCACACCCGAAGCCGCAACACAATTCACTTGTTCCACTTTCGACCGATGAGCTGCATCCGGAGTCCAAGATTCTCGACCCTCCGGGTGAGAGGAAGTTGGAATTCGATGGAATTCGAACAACATGAATAGTCCGTCATGAGTCATGGTGTCTCATGGTATTGACGCACTGCGGAGCAAAAAAACTCCGACATGCTCCTGACCATCCTGCGCCATCCTGCGATATCCTGCGCCATCCTGCGTCGTCCCGCGCCTAGGTGGTCTTGGGCACCGGTGACGTGGTGCCTGCCGACCTGCGCCTGTTTGAGGCGAAGGATTTCAAGGTCAGTGAGATGGCACTCACAGGCACAACATGGGCACATACGGCCGGGACAGATGTGCAGTGCAGAGGTGTGGGTAGCTAGTATCATCTAGTGCCATATGAGCATATGATGCATATGTATGTATATATATATATAATGATATACAGAGATAAATAATTTAACAAATAAAGCGCAACGTACACTTGTACTGCGAATATATGTAATTAAAACATACAGTATACTGTATACATATTACATTTGATTGCATTTGAACACTATTATTTGAGCAAAGGCGAGATGTCACTCTTTCCCTGTCGCGGCAGGAGGTACTGAAAACTGTAGTGTAGTTGCCAGTTTCCTTGAGGCAACATGATACAGGTCAAATGTCGCAGGCATGTGTGCTGCAAGTGTCTCAGTTTTTCACTCTGCGAAAGTCGCAGGAGAACCTGACGATGTGGCCAAGACTCACAAAGTGAAAGAGAAGAAGGATGGAGCTCCGGAGAAGACGCTCGGCTTCATTGGGAGGGTTTTTGTTTCAGGCTCGGGGCCCACAATGGCCCGCAGGTTTTGACACCTTGAAAAAACAATGCGATTGAGTTGAACTTCGGCCAACCTGATTTTGACTATTGGTATCTATTGGTATCTACTGGTGTTCCTCCGATACTGCTGCTGCTGATGATGATGATGCCGACGAAGACACTGGGTCAGACCTGGTGGATGAGGCTCACTCCTGAAACCATGGCGTTCTCCGGATGCAGCATCACTAGCGGAGTTGGCAAAGGCTTGGTGGTCGACACTGGTATGAGCACACGCACCTTGTTTGCGCAGTCAGTGCTGCATACCGGCGCTGCAGAAGACTAGAATTTTTGATGAAATTTTGATACTTTTGGTAAGTCCCATGCGAAGGTGGCTGATTTTGCCAAACCTGTTCTAAAACCATCGGTAGGCTTCAGTTTAGGACTGTTTTGGCAACGAGTATTTCGCGAGTCCTGGTAGGGATGTGTTATGGTGAACAGCTGTTGGATGGCGGAGCCCGATCATTTCGAACGTCGCTAATTGATGGTGCCGCCTAGGCATTGGGCGAATTGCTCAATTGATTAATGGCGACGCCTTTCGGCCAGCATTGTGACAATGGCCGATACGTCCGTTTGTCAACCCTGGTATTTGGACCCAATCAGTATCACAAAGCCTCCAAACCGTGGTGCTAGTAGTACCAATCTTGAAGGATGGTATTTATTTTCAGTTTTGTACACGGACTTAGACTTTCTACAATCTACTCCTGGCATGTCAGTCAACGACAAAAGAGTGTGTTGAAGCTTGTGCTGAATCAGTGTGCTGCACACTTGAATTTTGTCCTCCTCCACGGTTTCCTTCTGATCAAATGACCGCTTTCATGGCTCTCCTGATGCTCTCTTCAGGCTGGTGCTAAGAAGACTACCTGCTTTTGCTTCCCTGACACCTCTGCTAATCAGACGCCTTTGCAGCAGAATCTGAACAAGCTAGGTGCTGTTTGCGGGTGCTGTGATGTTTGGTGTCATGATCCATCGTGAACAACATGAGAGCCTTTAGTGGTGTCAAAAGCATGCCTTGATTTTGCAAAATGAGAGGCAAGTGTAGGGCACATTCATGAGGCACGCGTACACGATATGCGGAAGATAATTCCTGGCATGAGCATTAGGTCAGTAAGAATTTGCGAAGGCACCCAGGTGGAGTTCACAGGCTTTCTTTGAGTATCCAGAGTTTCTGTCAGGTGCCCGAATCGGAGTCCTGGCCATCATCATTTGCGTTGCTTCGCAGCAATGGGTATAGTATATACACTGAACTGAGACAGAATTCTGATTGCAGAATTTATCAGCCTCTATCCCGAGAAGGTCCTCCAAAATGGGTTTGGCAGCCTTGAGTGTTCATCATTTCCAACAAAGTTTCGGACTGGCAACATCTTCGGCAGCTTTCTCTTTCCCAAGCGCCAAAAAATCTAGAAGAACAGGCATGCTCTACAACAGCACATTTTAGTAATATGGGCAGATATGGGCAGCATGTGCTCAGATCAGACATTGTCTCTGGACAACGTGCCTACAACTTGTCAGCTGAGATTGGTATCTTCATTATTGGGTGGCTCACCGACCGGAAGGATCCCAGCAACCCGGACAGCCCTGCTACTTGGCTGCAAGATTGCCTTCGCAAGCCGCTAGCAGCCTGGAGTTGATTTTCCCCAGTCGAACAGATCCCCCTGAGTGAAGCATGCCATAGCATGCTGCAGCATGCCCACATTGCCTTGTAACTTCTTTAAGGGCCTCCTCATACTGAACTGTCTATCCTGCTGACATCGGCACACTTCCAATTGCGAACGAGCTTCCAATATCTTCTAATTATGAACAATTGATTGACATTCAAATGATTTGAATTCATTTGAATTCATTATATTCATTTGAGCTTTGCCGAGCTTTGCCTCGGATGGCGTATGGTCAGGCCTGGCTCTACATGATTTTGGTGTCTGTGACTCTGGCTGTGGCTGCAATCCCAGAGGGAATCCCTCTTTGCGTCACCATCTCCTTGTGGCTTAGCCTTGATTTGGATTGAATTGGAAACTATAGATCCACAAAATTGTTCTCTTGTCATTCTTGTCCTGGATATTGAGTCCGGAACAATTTTTTTTAAAGTTTTTTGCTTTTGGCGCTTTGTGTGCAAGCAGTGTGGAAAACCGCAAGTGTCACAATCTATGACAATCTATCACAATCATATAATATAAACAAATATAATATAATCTAGGTCTGGAATAGGTTGTCAACCACAATGAGTTCCTAATAAAAGTGCTTGTTTCAGCTACGAGCTGTCGTAAGTCGTAAGCCACAGAAGATAGCAGACAGCATCCGACACCATCCCACACCATCCGACAGCATCCAACAGCATCCGACAGCATCCAACAGCCTTGAGACGCTTAAGAGCTACAAATACTCCTACTCTATCTGATATCTGTGGTATCTGTATCCTCTACAGTCTATCCAGATCTATCCAACCCTGGGCACCTCTTGAGGTCCATTGGATGCAGTGAGACTTGCCATGCACTGATTTTTTGGCTACTGCAGCGCAATGATCAGCAGAGATCTGTTCTGAGAATGCAACAATGATATCTCGGCTGCCAGCACCGTCAGCACCCCTCCATCCATCTATTACAGTATATAAGCATCCATTCTATGATTCTATGATTGGGTCAGTTACAATTTGGAATTGATACTCATGTCTGAGAATGATTAGGTGCTGTGTGCAAGTTTTTGGGTGAGGGTTAATTGCAATGCCGCATCCAAGGACATGGTTGGGTACTCAGCATTCACAAGCAAACGGAAGAAAGAAGCGGGACGAGCCAAGAGTCAAGAGTTTTGCCGTCTTCGTCAAAGTACACAGATGGCAGGGCACAACCACCTAAATTTATGAACACTGGATGATGATGCCTTGAGATCCAAAGAGAGATGTAGAGATGCCTGTTGGGCCCTACACTTTGCAGCATGGAATCCAACCTAATTGTTTTAATTTCGTGTCATTGGTGACTTTACATACCCGCAAAATCCTGCAATCTTCAGGTCCAGCAGGAGGTGCTTGTGCGAAAGCTTGCTGCTGTGGAGACTCTGGGCTCTGCCTCTGTGATTTGCAGCGACAAGACTGGCACTTTGACGGAAGGCCTGGCCGCCACATATGACATAATGTTACATAATGTTACGATCTGTTACGCGTGATGACGCGTTGTGACATGGGTAAACCGGTAGAGCGTCCAGTCTCTCTGCAGTGGAGACCCCCAACACACTCTTGGCTCGGTTTGACAGCTGGTAGGCGGGAAACAATTGTCAACACACCTGCCAAGCCCCAGCCCATTTTCTGGACGGCTTCTACGACAGCATGCAGTTACTCAATGTTACGCATTGCACAGGAAAGATGACCATGGTGGGTATGTACGCTGCTGGCACCACCTATGAAGTCACCGGCAAAGGCTTCGATCCAGAGGCATCTTTGGCATTTTGAAAATACGGAAGCGTTCATTTCGAAAACGGCATCTTCTGTACACATCCGTACACTGCTTTATCTGCTTTGTTTTTCCTTTCCTTTGTTTCTCTTTTTTCTTTCATATCTTTCATTTTCTTTCTGTCTCTTGCCGTCTCTTGCCTGTCCTGTTCCTTCATGTAAATGGCATCGTGCGATACTCACATCGTTAAAGGGGTCTAGCGCTACACCATGCATGAGGATTGCAAAGCTCGACTTTACATACTTTACCTTTATACTTGGCTAACGGAAACGTGTTGATGCATTTCCATTGAATCAATAAAGCATAATGGAACAAACCCTCTGACAACGCTCAGATTGGCAACGTGATGCGTGCAGATGGCAAGGACGGCAGAAATGACATGGGCGCCTTGATCTGAAAGTGAAGTAAGCTGAGCGACATGGCCCCTGACATGGACCATGACTCATGACTCATTTGATTGCTTTAGCATCTTTAGCCAGTTAGAATATTTTCTGGGGTCCGTAGACCTTCTTTTGCTGACATCTAACAGGTCCATGTTGTGATGTTGGCCATTTCGTTTCACTATTGGAGGTTACAGGTACGGCAACACGAGACAGGGTCTGTTGCTTTTGGCAGTTTCATGTTGCAGGATCCTTCAGTTTGAGCTTTCAGTTTGCCCGGGCCAAGGTGTGAAGAGCAACCTGCTGACAGCCCTCCAGCTTGCACAAAAATGGGAGAACATCTCTAGGTGTACATTGGAGGTTCATCCTAGGATACTTATGTCCTAAGGAGCATCCACAATTTCGGCCTTCAGGCCATTTTTTTTGTGCCAAGAAACTCAAACAGCCTCATTTCAGATGCACCTCGGATTCAAACGCGCCATGTGCTTGAGTAGAAAGTCCTATTTACTGTATTTGTATGTAATTAATGTATTTGTAGCAGGTACCATGTAACCATGTGTGGACTGGTACCGAGGCAATCCTTTGCTGCAACACGACTCTCAGCAAGGAGAAGGATGAGGCACAAGAAAAACAGTTTGATGCCACTGCTGCTAGTATCAGCATGCTTCCCTGCAAATCCTTGCAAGCGATGTGTGCTGCCCTCATGTGACCCATTTTAACCCAAGCCTTTTCCTGCGCAGGCTGGCGTGATGAAATGGACTCCGAAGGCACATGGTATTGGCAGGGAAGATGCTGTTCTGCAGTGGCCAGGGAATGAATTACTATACTTGGCAGTCTTGGCAGTATCTTACGCTGGCTAACGGTAGCAGCTGATATTCGTGCAACGGAATACTTATCATCCCCGATATCTTTGCCTGTCACATTCTCATGCACAACTCTGCTTGGAGCGCACACATGCACATACCATACCATAATACTGGTTGGGTTTCCATATATTGGGAAGAATCATCCCAACTCCCAACTGACTAATATTTTAAAGAGGGGTTAAAACCACCAACCAGATAACATGGTGCGAGGCAGTGCTGACCTGTAGCAAGTACTGCTCGATCTGTTTTGCGCATGTCCTATTGTTGTCTGAGACTGAAGAATAGAAGAAGGCAGACCAACAGCTGAGCAAGAGCCATGACTGCGAGTGTGGAATAGTGTGGTTGTTTGTGACTGGTGCCAGGGCAATTCTTCCGAAGCACCTATCGTGGTGGCAGCCCGAAAAGTCGGCCTGTCCGAGAACATTGCTGGCAGCTCGCTGTGGAAGAGCAGTCTTGGTGAGTGATGGTAGTGGATCTCATGAAGGATAGCTCTGCGTCAACAAAGGCAAGTTTGGTTCGACTTTCCTATTTCCTACGTCTTTTAATCGCCACAACTATTCTTTGTGACTGGTACTCGCTCCATAAGATTCAACCCAGTCCCTGTCTGGCCCTGCACATTGTCACGCTGTGACTCTCAAGGTGATTACCCTCGTGTGCTTGAAGTTCCCTTCTCCTCATCTCGCAAGATGATGCTGCATGGCCATCATTGGCCTGATGACGTTGGATGGAAATAGCAATTCCCTTCCACTCCACACCCTCCCGTGCACACTGCTCTTGAGCAAAACCGGTCAGTTGGATGTCAGAGTCAGCTTGTACCTGCTTCGTAGAATATAGCACCAGCAGCTACAGCTCTTCAGCCATTTTTCCCGCAACATGTGCTTGCTTTTTGGAATTTAAGATCATCCTGAGGCAATTCCACACTGTGAGGAAACCCTGGGACCTGTTCTGGGGATATTTTGGATATCTCCGTGACTCTTTTGCAAATACACCAGCGCGTACCAGTACCCTCAAGACAGCTGACCGGTAGTCGCTAGTTGTGCACTTCGTGCGCCCTGTGAGGCTTACCGTGTCAAAGGTTGGCGGAACACACCTCTGTGAAGGTGGCATGCCTCTCCCTCCAGGTGTGGGACTCGGTAAGCCGGGGCCAGGCTGTCTTTGCTACGCATTTATAAACTCTGAAAGGCGTGAGTTCCTTGGACCTTATAAAACCCCCGAATTTATTTTTGTTGATTGTCTTTACTGTGCATCTTCAGGGATGTCTTTGCATGTGGTTGCAAGTTGGTCAGCCCGACAGAACTATGCAAGAGAATTTTGACCTTGCTGCAAGAGTCAAGTACGGTGCAATGGTAAAGTGCTGGCAGGAACAAATTACCTTGCAGTTTGCAAAGGCGTCGCAATCTCAGGGGCAAGGCAAGCAAGGTCAGGAGATCCTTGATCGAAATCCTCTACCAACAGTCTGTGAAAGGAGCGTGGCCATGCAGAAGTGCACCACATCCCATGCCATCCCTGTCCCAATTGTCCTGTGAACAAAGCATGTCATACAATGCAAAACCAATGCCACTTGTGCACCTACAAGAATCGCAACCTCGCTTCTTGGAGAAGCAAGCATCGCACGCATTAATATGACCTGTCATATACATCCACACCAGTAGTCAATAGCGATGAACTGGGACGTCCATGTGCATGCAGGTGTAGACAGATGCACGCATACTTACAAAGATTTCGATCCCGTGTAGTTTCCTCACTTGACGGTGATTTGTGCGTGTATGTGTGCGTGTGCACAGGCACATGCACCTGATACTGGGCATGCACCTGCCACTGAAGGAACTCACAATGAAGGAGACAGATGATGCCGGGTTTACGTCCTGAGCTTGGATGATCTTGGACGACAATGCTTTGGGCGAGACTTGAGGCTCCCAACTACATCATCGACTTGTGCTGTGAGCAGCTCAAGGCTGATGGAAGAGCTTTGGCAGCATTTGAAAAGGACTTGGGATGACTTCAGCGTGTCATGAGATTATCTAAAAATATCACAGTATAATTACTGTATATGATTACATTTATATAATCGATAATAATTATAATCTATAGTTTCAATTGAATCGTTTTATTTGGACAAAAGGGCACTACTACGAACATGTCAATCTTGACACAAGTTCTCTTCTCCTGAATTTATTGGCCTTTGGACCAAGAGGCGTGGACAAATTGAGTGATGACGACAAGACCAATATCCTCAAGATCGTTGATGGCCGCCTAGCTGAATTAACGATGCATTCGCCTGGGAACAGGTGAACACGAAGCATTCACTCAGCTTCTGCATCCAAAGGATCCAAGAGGGCACGCTATTTTTTTACCTTTTTTAAAGGAGCCTTGCCAGATGAAACATGCTCAAACCAGCTCCCAAGCCATCCAAAACATTCCAAGCCTCCAAAGTGTGAGCAAATTTTGTTGCAAACCAACTCCCAGGCTACTCAGCACGAGCTCTGCGCGTGCTAGCCATTGCTGCAAGGCCTATGCCCAAGCTCCCGCACCCTGGCAGCAGGAAGTCACAGTCCCGAAAAAAATCCCACACTTTTCTGGTTCAATGCCGGCCTTTGCATGCGTAAATCAATGTTACAATAGAATCAATAGACATCAATAGACAATTATTAGATATAAATCAATATATATATATATATATAGAGAGAGAGATGCATATAATCAACATCCAAAGTGCTCCCAGCCACTAGAAGCTTCAGGTCAAAAAACTGGTACGCTGAATGTTAGTGAATATTGAGTTGTCTTGCAGATGTCATTAGATGTCTACTTTCTTTAAAGCCCGGCTGCTATGAAGGTATGACGAGAGCAATGATGATGCCACGTGCCAAGTGGGCTAGTCACAGTCACACTTAGAAGGGATTTCTGTGAGCCTTTTGCGATTCTGTATGCTGTGTTTCCAAGTGTTTGTCACTCCAACGCCACTTTGCCAAGCAAACCGTTTCTGCAAATGCTGTCCTAAGATCACCACGGACCAGAAGTTCGAGGCCTGCCGCAAGCAGCTGCGTTTGATTGGCCTTGTGGCATCTATTGATCCTGAACGTGACGTGGCACGATCATGCAAGATCCCGTGTGCCCGTGGCCAGTGAGCGAGATCTTGGGTCAGAGAGGTTCCGAGGGGTGCGTCAAAAATCAGAGGATCGAAAGACGTAGCCGCCGATCACACGTGCGCAGCTTTTGCGGGTTGATCAGTTGAGTGAGAAGATCCCAAAGTGTCAAGGTCGCAACCGACCTGCTCAGAGGGCCCTTCCAGGCAAAGATGATAGGGGATGGTAGGGGCACGTAAGAGCCCCCACAACTGGTGAAGCGCTTTCGCTTACCACGTCATACCATGTCCAGATTCGGAGATTTGATACCCAAGCTGAATCAAATCAAAATCAAATGAATCAGAGGCATTCAGAACCATTCAGAACCCAGGTGATGGCGTTCCTGATTCAGTGGTTGCCGCCCGTGGAGCGGGCATTCGCGTGGTGATGATCACGGGTGACTACCTCCTTACTGCTATTGCCATTGCCAAAAACGTTGCACGGTGGCAGGGCCGTGGTGTTGTAAAGCTGGTAACCAGCTGGTTGAATTTGATTGGAATTCCATTGGTGGATCAAAGGCTGCAGGATCCTGCAGGTTTGGCGAATCATTTGATCATTTTGAAGCTTGCCTGAGGTGAACATCCTGCAGCCATCGGATGATGAGGAGACCTCGGCCATGGACTGTGCCAACCTGAGACCTGATGGCGAATATCTGCGGCCAGAGGAGAGTGAAATCATGCAGAGGGAGTAGGAAAGGGCCATTGAGTCATTGGCTTCATCGCATGGTGAATATCTTGAATATCCTGTTCAAACCACGACCAAGCCTTCCGAAGAAGCATCACGGATTCAGATGGTTGACCCTCTTAATCTATCCTAATCCTGTGAGCTTGGGATAGCCTGAAGCGCTCATTGCATCTCATTACTCTGTGAATCTCTGTGATACTTTCGGCAATTCCTGCCTCGGGCGATTGCCCATGTCCAGGAGATGGATTTGATCACGCGATCGACGAGAGTCTTCGCACGCGCCAAGCCTGAGGCATGGAAAATAGAGTCTAATGAATGAAGGCCACAAACAGAAGCAAAAAACAGTCTAAACCAACATCAACACATGAGATACATCAGACAAGAATTCTAAGATTACGTTTTCTTGCATTTCGGCAAAAACTGTTCTCAAGATAATTTCCAAGTTGCTCTTATCGCAATGTTGACGAGACGACGGAGCCGATTGCAGGACAAACTTGAGATTGTGAAGAGCATTCAGCGTCAAGGCAAGCACATGGGAAAGCTAAGGCCAAAGAATTGATCGACAGAAATAAACGAACAAAGAATTCCAATATACTAAGATATGCTGAACATGTTGAAAAACGAGCGACCACATGAGAGTCCATAAGCACCTAGTTTATTTGCATAATAAATCAAGGCGCACATAAAACACACCCACACACACACAGACACAGACACGCACACACACACAGACACACACACACAGACACACAGACACCGCACAGACACGCAGACACGCACGGACACACAGACACACAGAGACACACGGACACACAGACACAGGTCCTGAGGTGTGCATTGGTGCAATATGTTGTTTTTGAACACATCTCCGCATGTTTGCATCCATTGAGGCATTTGGATAGAAAGAACGCCAATTGAGCAGCATCCAAAAAGGGTATGTACAGGATTTTGTCTAAAATTATTGTGGGGTACCTTTGGCGAAAGCTACCGCCTGAGCGCCAAGGCTGCGCTGACAGGAACGCGAAAGTGACATTCTCCTGAAATGCTTTTGAATGTCTCCGTGCATTGCAATGTTGTATAAATCATATCAAATTCGTATACATATGACAAAGCAAGGCATAGATAGATAGATAGATATATATATATATATTCATGTTTCTTACGACTTCGTTCGGCAAAAGCAGCCCCGAAAGTGCACCTAAACAAAATTGTATCGCGCAAGTCAAATCATTGCGCCCAAACGCAGCGCAAAAGCAATTGCAAAAGCACAGAAACATAACCATTTCGCTAACACGTTTCGAGGCCCCTCAATCTAAACAGGAAGATGTACATATATAGATGGGTCACTAAGTAGCACGCCGTTGTGGCGCGAAGCACATTTCGAAGTCAAACTGTACAAAACACACCAGGTTCGGAGCATTTTTAGAAGTTGCGATGTCGAAAAATTGCACGCCGTTGTGGCGCGAAGCACATTTCCAAGTCAAAATGTACAAAACACATCAAAACACACCATGCTCGGACCACTTTTGGGAGGTCGGAAAAAGTGCACGCCATTGTGGTGCGAAGCACATTTCTAAGTCAAAACGTTAAAGACACTACGTGTTCGGACCACTTTTGGACGTTCAGGTGTCGTTTCGCGTGGCAAGCACAAGGGATTGTGCACCTGGTCAAAAGTGAGCAAAACGTGAGGGTTTTGTAGCATGTCCAAAAACGATGGCAGGCGTGGGACACTTGAAGAGGATCTGTAAAAATGCATTTTCCGTGGCAGGCGCAGTACAAGAGGCATGTTCATCAGAGATGTTAGGAGGTCCGGGCGCTGATTTCCTGAGAGGGGTTGCATTTTGGAGCATCAGATCTTCAAGTTTTGGGAAGGTGATTTTGCATGACCGGTGCAGAAATCGTATGACCTGGCGTCACTTTTTCGTGGCAGGCGCAGTACTTTAGACAGGTAATGTGGAAAAATTGCTAAACGCATTGGTACGAGGCCGTCAGCTCTGCACTCAACTTTCCATTTTTGAAGGAAGTCTCGCAGAATTGTTTCGTTTTTGATGTTGCCAACTTCAGAGATTGAGGAAGTCTCGCAGACTTGTTTCGCTTTTGATGTTGTCAAGTTCAAGAGTTGAGGAAGTCTCGCAGAATTGTTTCGTTTTGACGTTGTCAAGTTCAAAAATTGAGGAAATCTCGCGAAATAGCTTCGTTTTCCAGCTTGCAGATGATAGACAGATAGATGGATAGACAACCACAACTACAACTGCAACTACGCTACTATTACAACTACAAATGCATGTACAGACATTACACTACACTGACTACATTACACTACGTTAATTACACTACACTATGCTAATTACAATACACCACAGTAATTACATTACATCTACAACTGCTACTACAAATGCAGCTACGCCTTAAACTACAGCTACACTACATTCCACTACACTACATAACACTACACTACATTACGCTACACTACACTAATTACACTGCACTACAGTGCGCTACAACTACAGCTACAACTACAACTGCGCTACATTACGCAACACTACAACCACAACTACAACTACAACTACAACTACGCCGCGCTAAGCTACAGTAATTACACTACACTACACTACAACTACGATGACAGCTACAACCGCAACTGCACTACTTTAAACCACACTACACTAGACTACACTACATTACACTACACTACAGTACACAACACACAGTACACTACACTACACTACATTACACTACACTAATTACACCACACTACAACTACAACTGCTACTACAAATGCAGCTACAACTTCAACCACAACTACACTACATTACACTACACTACAGTACACTGCAGTACACTACAGTACACTACAGTATGCTACAGTACAGTACAACCACACCACAGCTACACTACACTTTCAATACGTTACACAACACCACAACTACAACTACAAGTGCAACTACATCTACAACTACACCACACTACACTACACTACACTAATTGCACTACACTATGCTACACTACACTACAGTACACTACACTACACCACACTACAACTACAGCTAAAACTACAACTACAACTACAACGGCAGCTACAACTACAACTACACTACTTTACACTACACTACACTAGGCTACGCCACACTATACTACACCTACAGTACGCAACACTACAGTACACTACAGTACACTACAGTACACTACACTACACTACGTTGCACTATGGTCACCGACAGAATTTTGGAAATGGAAAAAAGGTTCGACATGGGGAAGCAAACAGCTGCGGCGCGCCGGGGCCGTATTTTCCATAATTCTGTTTTACTGATAAAAATGCACACTTAAAAAATCGGTAATACCTTGTATACCGAACCTTTTTGGAAGGGGCGTGACGTGCTGCAGTTAAATTTCCATATATATTTTTTCCATGTGAGGGTGCTTCTTGGCATATGACCATTTCCATAATTATTTGTTTCCTGAAAGGGGTGACAACTTTTCTATTGATGTTTCCATAATTCTTTTGGCCATGGCTACAGTGCATGATTAATGGCTACAGTAGCATCAGTGGGAGATCAAAACTAGGTAGTTTGGAGGATCAGGATCCGAAAAGTAAGATTTCGAAAATTAATTTTGCATCGTGGATTAGAGGCTTTTGTAGACATTTGTATACATTTGTTTCATCCTTTTTTTTGAAGGATCAAGATCCGAAAACTGAATCTAGATTTAGTCCCAAGATCATGCAAATACGCTGTAAAGCAACTGGTTTGGAGGATCAGGGTCCGAAAACTGAATCTAGATTTAGTCCCAAGATCATGCAAATAAACTGTAAACAAGGTGGTTTAGAGATGTTTGGAGGATCAGGATCCCAAAACTGAATCTGGATTTAGTCCCAAAATCATGCAAATTTGCTGTAAACCAGGTGGTTTGGAGGATAAGGGTCCCAAAACTGAATCTGGATTTTGTCCCAAAATCATGCAAATACGCTGTAAAGCAGGTAGTTTGGAGGACCAGGATCCGATAAGTAAGATTTCCAAAATTAATTTTGCATCGTGGATTAAAGGCTTTTGTAGACATTTGTCTCACTTGTTTTTTCATTTTTAGAGGATCAGGATCTAAAAATTGCTATTTCCAAAATTCTTTTTTTTGAAAGTCCGTAATGTCGCTAATGTTTTGTCTTGGTTTCGGTCCCCAACCTTTTCCGCTAACTGCGGCGCGCGAACCTTTTTTCATTTCCAAAATTCTGTCGGTGGCTGTACGCTAATTACACCGCACCACAGCTACAACTGCAACTGCAACTACAACTACACACACACACACTTATTACACTACACTACAACTACAAATCCACAACCCTACGCTACAACTACAACTGCGCCACGCCACACTACATCAAGCAGTTGTGGGTGAGGTGACCACTGCAGATTCGCTCTGCCATTCGTGATTCACAACAACCAACCTCTCCTATAGTTTTCCTATTTTTGAAACTTGCGCCACCGCCTTGTGCGGCACTACTGGTATATAAATGTATTGCGTAAAGACACAGTCATAGAAACTGATCAAAACACCACTGGCCGCTGATTGGCACAGCTGCCTCGGTGAGGCCGCAAAGGCCTCCCTACCAGCCAGTGGTATTAGACACAACAGAATCACAACGGACACAGCACACCGTTTTGATGGCACATGACGCACCTGCACCGGTCAAGGGAGGACTGGGACACTTATACCCGCGTCGGGGGCAGCACTCCCGATTCAAAAAGTAGGTTTTTGGGATTTTGGAAGGCTTCCGCTTTGGTTGGAGCACCTTGGGGACACGCGTCCTGACTGTTGTAGGATTTAGGCCATAGAACAGCTCTTTAGACAGAGAAGGTGTTTCACCAATCAAACTTTTCTGATTTGTCCAAGTTGTCACAGATGCTGCTAGGCCAAGTCGCTGCCATGACCGGAGATGGAGCTGCTTGTTCTTGTTAAAGGAACACTGCAATGCGTCTTGAGTCTGACATTGGATGAGTTTGGACATGTCTTGGTTTCTTCATGCCCTTTGTGAGGTCAACGATGCGCCAGCCTTGAACCAAGCAGACATCGGCGTGGCCATGGGCATCCAGGGTACTGAGGTGGCGAAGGGCGCTGCAGACATGTCCCTTGGTCCTTGCTGAGCTTCCTGATAGTTGCTGATACAATTACAATTACGATCAATTTTATGCTGCATATTATGCCCCTGGAAAGGCGGTGTATGATGTGTGAATTCCGGCTGTGCCTTGCTTTGGCTGCTTCACATGGAGTCTTCCACAGTTGAGTGGAGCCGTTGCGGGTATACGGAGCATCGCTACCATTTGTTATTAACTCGTCCGCAATATGTGGAAGGCCCTTTTGATGAAAGAACCACAAAGAATCTTGAGCCTACATAGAGTGTTTCTTTCGATTGCCAAGGGTGCTTACAGATGACAATTTCTGCTCGATTGTCAATGCAGCGGCTTGGCCTTTTTTTTAAGGTTTGTGTCAAGGTCACTGTCGGCCTGCTGTGGTGAACGAATACAATCCCGTGCGCACGCAAACTACTTTCGCTTCCTTTGGTGTAAAGTGTAAAGGAAACTTTCCTCACCTCAATAGGCACCTGCTGATCCAAGGTGGAAAAGGGACGTTCTATCTACGCGGGCATCCAGAAGTTTGTGGCCTTCATCATGTCCGTGCATATTGCTGAGGTAGGGAACACTCAAGACATCCCGAGATGGTTGGTGTTGAGACCCTGTCCGGGTTTGAATGTGTATGAGAGTTGCTATCATCAGGGAGTCCGGAACTTGGAGTAAGACTGTGGCCATGGTGCAGGTCATGCAAATTTTTATTTGTATCGTGGTGGGCATTCCAGCCTCTTGGCAAGATTGAAATCTCGATTGATTGCTGGAGACAGTCAGCTCCGTATCAGCCAGAATTTGCCTGGACAAGCTTTCTAGAATTGCAGCTATAGCATACAAATGCATAAAAAAGTGGTTGGCAAGCGAAGCAATGACGAGCACCATGCCAGCCAGCCCAATTTGCACAGCCCCAAACTACGGCCGTGGTTTTAGGTGATGCGAACACCCTTGCAGATCCTTTTCTTGATCCTTGTGACGGACCTGCCTCCGTCCATTGCTTTGGGCATGGAGCCAGGCAACTGCCTGTGGAAGGGCCGGAGAGATCTGGGAAGGAGCCACAAGTCATCATAACACATCCAAGCCTGGACAAAAGCGTGAAGGGGGTCATAGGGGTCTATGTGCTTCAAACCGATTCAAACCTCTACACTGTGAGACACTCTGTCTCGCCCACTGCAATCAATTGGCAATCTTGGCAGGCAATCCTGTGAGGCGATCACAATTATGTAATCTGATATGTAGATATGTAGATATATGAAGTATGTGGATGTATGTAGATGTATGTAGATGTATGTAGATGTATGTAGATGTATCTAGATGTATCTAGATGTATCTAGATGTATGTAGATGTATGTAGATGTATGTAGAAGTATGTGCATAGTACTTTATCCCCACCTCAGAGAGAACCGGTTTTCAATTCGTGGTGATGCAAGTTCCCCCAGTTAGCTCCGCCCCTGTTGCAGAGTCTGTTTGCAAATATGCAGTGAGCGGGCCAGTAAACATAGTAAACGTGTTGGGACATGGGAAGCAGGATCATTCCCATGCAGTGCACCTGTTGCAGGTGAGGCCCACATTTTGAAAATGCGTCCAAGACCAAAGGCCAGCATGTTGGGACATGTTTTGGACAACGGAAGAACCAAAGCAGCGCATCGTACCATGTACATCCATGTACTGTAATGGCGGCGTGCCGAACTTCAGCCCCTGCTCCAGGAAGAGCCTATCGTCCTGATGTGGAGTCCTGGATGCCTTCAAGCTAACGTTCCATTCACACACACACATCCAACGCATATATGGCATATATATCCATGCAGAAGCTTTTTTACCGGCCTCTTCCCACGGCAGCCGCTGACCGCTTGCTGGCGTTAAGGATGTGGTTGGCAATGATCATGAACGGTGCTGTGCTCACAGCCATGCTCTTAGGAACTTGAGAGCCGGGACTGGATAACGCATTTCATGCCGAACTCCTTGGGACGTGGCGTGGCAGTTGAAAACGGTTGATTTTCAAATTTGGGCTAGTGACTAGTGGCTAGCCGTTTCAGGTTGTGGTCGTGGCCGTTTACCTCATCTCTCTCATCAACTACTGCGATGGCGAAATCCTCCAATCCAATATCTACCTGCTTGACAGTTCCGGCCTTTGCTGACAGGGCCGGAAATGCAACGGAGTGAGCATACCCAAACAATCCCAGACACCAGTGACACAGTTCAAGGATGTTCAAGGCTTGTGAAGAAGAGTTCGGAAGGGCTTTGTTGTAGGAGTGCGTCCCCATGACAAAATGGTACACGTTTCTGGTTTCGAGATGTAGCAAGTGCAATGCTAGAGCCACCAACAGGGTCCTGGCCCAACTGTACGCCTTGATCATCCTTGATCGATTCCGCTGAGGCTATGAAGTGAGGCAGGATGTCTGGGCACGGCGTGAAACATCTTGCAAGCGATTCTTCACGATTCTTATCATTTGGCTTCTTCAGCTGTTTTCAAGGCAAAAGGGGGGAATGAAAGGGAAAGAGTCGAGCACTGGCAGGCTCAGCAAAGCGCAGACCGTCGCTTTCATCTCCCTGGTGTGGTTTGGATCCCAGTGTTCAGATGGCGCTTTCCAAACGTTTCAAAGCATATCGTGATCCTGAAGCTTTCTGCAGACATGGTCCCAGATGGTCTCAGAGGCTGATCTGGCTGCAGGTCGGAAAATATCCGTGCCTACATCTCACGATCCTTCACAAACCCAATGTGGCATGATATTCTTGGGAACAAGCACATGCAGAAGGCTATCGTGATGGCGCAGATCTGCCTCTATGTCGTTCCTCAGCCCAGAGCCCTTGGAAAAGGCTTGGGACCTGGAAAAGATCGAGCATTTTCCCTACGCAAGTACGTGTTTGCACAAAGGCCTCAACCAGTTGGAAATATAATGAAATCATATGAAATACATAAACAATCCTGGTTGCAGTTTCCTCTACAGAATCAAGGGGTAGCCCCTCCAAATGCAAGGGGGATCATAGATATATAATGAATTATAATGAATTATAATGATATGTAATAATTAAATATGCTGTGAAATGCCCGCAAGTTTTAAACCCCGGATCTGTCCTGTGCCTTGAATGGGTTTTATAAGATTTCTACGGCATGTAGCATTGTGTAGCGGCAAAGAACTGTGAGTTTTTTGCTTGCATTGGCACATGTTGGCACTTCTCGACATCTCAGGCTGTCCTGACCCCCTACCTGTCAGACAGAATATTGGGCCTTCGCGGCCTTGAGATCGGAGCCTCCGCAGGTTTCAACAGTTCTGCGAGCAACTTTGGACCTCTCTGATAGTCTCTCTCTCTCTATATATATATGCTTATGTACCGGTACCGATATGTTTCTATCATTTCTATCGCCATGATTTGCATAAGCAGCAGCTGTGGCTTTTCCATGCTGTTCCCATTCATCCATACACAACTGAGGATTCTTCGGTTGGGCCCTGGCAGTGGTGGGCCCCATAGGCTGCTTCATCTTGAGCGAGTCTTGCAAGATCATCAGCCACTTGGCACAAGTTTCCTGCTAAGCTTGAGGATCGCCCACTTAGACAAGCATGGCAGCTGCTTACTCCCGGACCGACTCCTATTTAGACTCGACCAGGACAAAGTGCTCTTTATATCTTACTAATCTTAAGACTTCTTGAAAGATTTGAAGGTGAGCTAAGAATAGCTAAGATGAGTTGTGAGTTGAGGTGTTCATAGTTTTCTCGTGTTTGGTGAAGCTTGCACACACACAGCTTGAACCATGCGGGGCTGGTATTCTGAGGCGCCTACCAAGCCAAGAAGCACCAGGACCTTTTCAAGCGACCCTGCCCGCACTGAAATAAGAACCGCATGCAGGTGCTCTGTCCTTTCGGGAAGTTCGTTGCGATTAGGCAGAGGGATTCAGCGCATTCTTAGCTAGGACAGCCTTGCAATGGCCGATGCTCCACCAGCTGCAGCTCCAATCAAGGCTGGTGTTTCAGTATTTCCGGCAACATGTTCCGATTCATGCACAATCACCTGCATGAAGGACAGCATGTTTTTCTAAGGTGGGGCTTTGAGGCATCGGTTCCTTAAGATTCCTTAAGTGCTTTGCTGGACGACATAAATGGGCGACCACAACTTCGATCATGCCACACACACACAGACCAGACATGACCAGAGATCAGTTGGCGGACTGTTCAGGTGGCCGGAGTCAAGTGGCTCGGGCAGAAACATCAAATGAGAAGATATGAGAAGCATTGAGAAGCATTTTTTGGGAACGACGCAGATAAAAATCATAGATGCTTTGTTTGCTTTTGGCATTTGTGGGCCTGGGGCTTGGTGCCAAGGAAAGATGCAAAGATGGGAGCTCCAGTGCAACCTGCCCGGAGAGGGTGGTTCCAATGCTGCATGGGAGTGCCTCGGTCAAGCATTCTCAGGAATCTTCCCATTTGATCATCAGACATGAAATGGATGGCTTTTATAGATCGTGAGTAGTGCACTAGTGTGTTTGGCTCTGGCTGGCTTGGGACATCTTGGGAGCCATTCAAGCATGCAGATGGACAGAGACAACAAGGCACGAAAGCTAGCTTCTGCTAGCTGAAGCGCCTCTTGCTTTAGCAAGGTATTGGGGGGGCTGGAATCTCCAATCGCATGAACATGCATGAACCTTCATAATTAACTACCCCCCCCTCCCCGGCTGGCTGGTTCACAAGCAGTGGCCGTGGCAGCATCCGCATCCTCAGCATCATTGTGTTTTCATGCCAAACTCCCTGCCAAGCTAGCTTTCGTCCCTTACACTCGCTGGGCCTCAAGGCAAAACTAGGCACACGACTACTGGCGCACACTTGATCACACATGCATTCTCTGTGAAAACAGAACTACGGATAGAAATAAGAATGGATATGGATGGATATGGATGGATGGACTGCTACAAGGAAGAGCCATGGTTGATATTCGATGAATTTTGATGATATTTGTTGCCGTGATAGGATTAGAACGTGAGATGATTGCGCGGCGTCTAGGGCATCTTTTGAGCCCACCTCTGTCACCTTGATGCCCACGCAGTGGAGCAGGTTGGGGGACCTGGGATCAGCGCTGGATCGCGCTCGACAGTTTCGCCACGCATTTATTTCAGAGAGAGGATGAGGCAACACGAGGCAACACGAGGCAACATGAGGCAACTCAATCAACTACAGATAACTCCAGATAACTACAGTATCGAGACGGCGGCTTGTAGTTTTTCAGGTCAAATGGCAACTGGATCAACTGGGAACGGGTGATAATTTGACAGGCTATGAAATACACATTTAGTGTGGTCTAGTGAGTCTAGTGCAGTGTCATGCAGTGCATTGCACAGTGGGAAGCACCGTGGAAATCTTGCAATATCTTGCATGATTTGCATGTCGAGAGTCAGAGTTTTTGACAGGAAATCAATGGACCGATGTCAACGATGTCAGGAGAATCTCACCAGCCGACTGCCGACTCACCACAGCTTGCAAGCTTGAGCCGCAATGAGCGATGGCCTGGAACACCTCCTTGTCGTCCTGACACGGACGGTGAAGATGACAAACAACGACGAACAAAGAACAATAAACATCGATAAACCGTGTTACGTGCAGGGCATAGGATCAGCATGATTGACCATATTTGACCATTTGGATATATTTGGATCATTTGGCGACTGCCTTCGTTCCCGCCATTGCTCGGAATTTGCACTGCTGGGCGTAGCCAGTTTTCGTCCGCTTTTTCATCCACGCACGTCTAAAGGCAATCCAAGGTCCTTCGCCAGCTTCAACTGAAGCTGCAAAGTCGTAGAAAATCATAGAAAACCTACAAATAAGGCTCAAGAGGTCATGTTTGCATGCCAAATCAACCAAAATCTGAAATCAGGGTATTCAATCGATTTGGAAATGTTCTTGTTAGATCTTGTTAGACTTTTCAGGGATGAGTGGAGAAACTTGAACGCTGTGCCTCTATCCCCCTCCAAATGGATCGGGATAAATTGAGTGTTGATGGATGACTTTCGTCAGATTGGAGATCAATCTTGCCTGCCGAATTACCTCCCCGTGATGGAATCGACCAAACTAATGCCTCAATTCATTCATATTCATTCTCAAAAACTCAGAGAGACCGTGTTGTTTTGTTTCAACGATGCTGTTTAACGCTTAGTGCTGTGCAAGTCAAGGAGGTCGTCCCAACATCTTTGATCAAGGCTGTTGGAGCAAGATGCCGAGGACAACCCGGGGCAGAGCAAGAAAAGCGACGCATTGACACCACTCAAGATCTCTCAAGATCTCACAAGATCCCTCAAGATTGTCATTGGCGGCTTTCTCCCTGCCCAAAAAGCGTGGAATCGCATATGGATGTGCGTCTCCAGTTCTTTCCAGTATTCTTGAACCACCTCTTGCTGTTTTCAAAGCCATTTGGCAAGTCGCTGGTCAATATTCCGCTAAGCGGAGGGCGTCGAAGAATTTCACAAATATTGTCTACATTTGTCTGGATCAGTTGCATCTGCATAAGATCTGGACTTTTCCCAAAAGTGAAGAGCCGCGGCTTGGTTTAGCCTACCGTATACGTCTTCGAAAATATTCGAAAAATTCGATGGGTTAGATGTTGGGCTCTAGAAAAATGGAACCATTCCCCGGAAGTTGTTTTTTAAAACTGATTTCGTAACTTCACAACTATGCAATTCAAGTACGGTGATGTTTTTCTAAGAAAACATCCTATACATAGCTTCGAAAATGCACTTCTTGTAAGTTGCCATTTTTCTAGGATACCTCGAATTGGTTTGATGTCTGTAGCTAGATTTTCTTGGGTCCCTAATTTAACATTCATTTTCTACTAGAAAATCACAGGCCCCAACCTGACCCGGTGAACTCGCACAGGGTTCGTTTGCATATTTTATCTTCTGAAGATTTGTCAAGTCAATTTTCGAAAAAAATATGCGGTTCTATCAACATGCTTGTTTGCCTAAGCCACATACATGCGGCAAGGCGAGCTGCCTTTTCACTTATAGATGGGTTCGACGGCTTGGCAAGCCACAACACGTCGCAATCTCGTGACAATGAGCCATATTCGACCATGAAGCCCCCTTCAGCTTTGAAGGCTAAGCAGCAAGTAAATGACCGCATATGACCGCTAGATGTATCTAAGCACGGTCTTTACATTGTATAATATATATATATTATACATTTACACATATAGTATTTTATTACTATATTCATATTACAACTATAACATATAAATAGTAATGTGACGAATGGTGACGAACTTGCGGAAGAAGTATGCATATGCTCTTGCAAATCTTGTTCCAGCATATTGGTTTGCACTTTCGTGGATCCTGTTGCAAGAATGGCAGGCAAGTTTAAGTATAGCGGTATAGCCAGCAATCAATTCCATGCTGTGCATGTGTGTGTTTGTGTGTGTGTGTGTGCATACCAAGCCGCCTCGGAAGTGCAATCTGCGGCTCGACCCTTTGCATCTTCGGGTGGCCTGAAAAATGGAGCAATCGGAACTCGTCTGATGAAACGTGGCTAGGGAGATGCAGCAACGCATAGCAACGCAACCATGGCAACCGTGGCATGGCAACCCTGTACGTACCTGCCTTGTTTGAAGCAATGGCATGAGGCATCATGAAATTTCACCCTTTTCGCGCATGGCGCAGTGGTTCCCCGAGTCCATTGAGCACTGCCTACTTGCATCCTACTTTGAAAACGTGGAAAATGACCTTATATGACCCACATGTCATTATTTGTGCTGGGCTGTTCTTGCAGCATTTTGTGGCTCAGATATATAGGTTTAAACGGGCGCTGCTCACAACATGCCCAAATCCGAGCTGGGCACTGAGACTCGCTCGTTTCAGTGGTCACCTGCAGTATGGGGCACAGTATGGGGCGTGTGGGCAGCATGTCAATGGGCGAAAAGGCAGATCTTGCTTGCTCATAACCTCAAGGAAGGCTTCTGTGCTCCAGATCAGCTGCATGCAGTATCGTTCAGTTGCACCTTGTGGTGAAAATTCTAGACTTATTCTGGAAGCATTTGGAACTATGTGATTTCCTTCTGAGGCAGAAACTGCAGAAAAAGAAGGGGTCTTCAGCCCAATTGGACAAACAGGCAGATGATGCTGTGACTTGGCCCAAAAAGCTCGGTGCTTTCACGGGTCCGGAATGAGCAGCAAGTGATTGGGCCCACATGGGCCCACAAACCCAAACTTTCGGTCTTTCTCGATCTTCATGTCACATTCATGCCCAAAGGGGAAAGATCAAGAATTGAAAGCGCCCCATTTCAAGAACGGAGCGCTATTCACAACTGTGAAAAAGATGTAGCATTCGAGGCCACATCATGAGGCTACAGCGATTCCGAACCCATTCTTGGGCGAAAATTGGGAGTCCACTTAGAATCTCTCTTGCCATTGAGGTGACTCCCATTGATGCTTTGGCACAGAGACTTGGCGGCCTCCCAGACCTCCAGATTCTACGGTCCTGTCTTCTTTGTGCAAATTTTGCAAACAAGGCTATCATTATTCTAGTGATACTGGCGCCTTGTTCAAACCATATAAACCATATACTTGTCATTTGCGTGGCAGTGCCCACCTTTGCATTGAATTGGGTATCACGATCAATTTCTCAAGGTTAGTTTGTTTCTCTGTTTCTGCGCCGTGTGCTGCATTTTACATTTTAGATATGTCTTTGGGGATGATGTAGACTCGACGTGATATGTGATTCAATGAGGACTCCAAAGGCTGGAGGGCAACATTTTAATTCATGCGAGATACTGTATGTGCAGCACTGTGTGACTTCACACCGCCTGATGCGACTTATCCACCTTAGAGCTAATTCATGCTAAGCTGCTAATTCTATGTCTTATAGATTAGATATATTTATGATTCATGATTATTTTATAAATTTTACTATATTTTAGTCTTCATTCCAATCCCTAGTTGCCCCTATTGCCTCATTACTCATGTGAATGGAATAGCTGCATTGTTGGCCGATGTCAAAAGTATGGGATACCCAGCCCTCTACATGCAGGGTAGTGTTGGCCCTCTGAGGCAGTACAAGACAGATGTCCAGAAGGGCCTCACTTCCAAGAAGGCTGCAGCACTTTGGCGATCAACGTGCAGATGGATTGCAGAAGGGCAGAACGTTCTCCTAAAGATATCTAGAAAATAAAATTCGACAATTGAATTTGAAAGTCAATGCTCATCCATTGACAGCTAAAACTTCAATGGCTGCACTTTTCCGAGCCACTACACCCAGGAAATCTTGGAACGTGATGGTCTTAATGAGTTAGAGAAGCCTCCCAAGCCGACGCTGTTGTTGCTCTTCCTGATGCAGTGCCTAAGATGCAAGTCACAGCAAGTCGCTGTTCATTTGATGGGTGCGGATTTCTCGCACAGCTTCAATGCAGAGAAAATGGGCTAGGCCTCAGGTTTCAGCAGACATTGGCGAGTGTCAGCATAGATTGTATCTGTATATGCATTATACATCATTATACATACTGTACATACGTATATTTGATAATATCCTAGTACGTACATTGTATTATTTAAGGGCTGCCGCCCCTGCCGCCGACCCCGGAAAAGAATAAGTAAAGGTTCTCTTGCCGAAGTAAACATTCGTAAGGTTCCGCATGTTTTGCGGACCATGCAACTGTTCGAGAAAGTGAAACAATATCTGGCAAAATATACCTGATGCAGATGACTTATAGGCCTTGAGCAGGTGCCGCAATGTTCCAATTTGATCAAGGGCTGGTGAAACAGGCAAGAGTGACGAGACAGTTGACATGAAGCTTGCTCTGAACTGAACAACACATGTATGTGCATTTGGGCTGAGAGACCTAAGACTAAACTGCTAAAAGCTATTAGGACAAGAAAGCTGCAGCTTAGAGGTCACCACATATCATCACAAAGACCTAAGGTGTGGTGCATCATTTTTTTGTGTGCCACGCAAAAGTTATTTGTTTAGAGTTGTTAGAACGACATGCTGCAGATGTGACTTGCCCATGGTTATTTTGGCTATACTTTGCCCTTGCAGACTTCGACCCAAGTGAGGGAGCCAAGCCGTGGATCAAGAGGAAATTTCAAAATGTGAAGAAGGAAAATGGATGACGATTGTATGGTTTCCATTAGGTATTGTGGAAAAACGGCATGTGGGGGTGCAACATGCAAGTTTGTGTAGTGAAGTGAGTCATCAGGTGTGGGATTTGAAGTTCGATGATGGATGTTTGCTGAAATTATCATGAAGATGCCCACATATCTGTCTACTTTTGGATAGATTGACATTTGTTTCAAGTTGTTGGACTCGTTCGTGTCCTCCAAATGAGGCTGCAAAACTTGGAATGATGTCTTGTGCCAGATCGCTAAATACTCGCTGTAGTGAAGTGCCGGCAGAAAAAGACCGTACCATGTTACACAACTCCCTAACGTGTCGTCTGAAATCCTAGAAAAGCAGCCTTTTTAGCGAGATTCTGTTGCCTGCAGCTGCTTGCAGTACTGCAGGCAATAAAACAGCTTCAAAAAAGCAGCTGCCGGCAGGAAAACACTATACCACGTTACACAACTCCCGAACGCGTCGTCTGAATTCTATAGAAAAGCAGCCTTTTTGGCGATATTCTGTTGCCTGCAGCTCCTAGCAGTACTGCAGACAAGAAAACAGCTTCAAAAAAAGCAGCTGCCGGCAGGAAAACACTATGGCTCTGAAGGACGAGCGAGTTCCATTCTATTGCCTGCAGCTACTGGCAGGAAAACAACTTCGAAAAAAAGCAGCTGCCGGCAGAAAAACACCATACCACGTTACACAACTCCCTAACGTGTCGTCTCTGAAGGACGAGCGAGTGCCAAAACGTCTGAAATCCTAGAAAAACAGTCTTTTTCGAGACGAGATCGAGACGAGAAATTCGAGAGATCGAGGGATTCAGTTGCCTGCAGCTACTGGCAGTAAAAAAACAACTTTGAAAAAAGCTGAAATCCTAGAAAAGATACCTTTTTGGCGAGATTCTGTTGCCTGCAGCTGCTGGCAGTACTGCTGGCAGTAGAACAACTTCGAAAAAAAGCAGCTGCCGGCAGGAAAACACCATGGCTCTGAAGAACGAGCGAGTACCAAAATCACGTTAAAAAACTCCCTCATGTGTCGTCTGAAATCTCCTAGAAAAACAACCTTTTTCGAGACTGCTGGCAGTAGAACAGCTTCGAAAAAAAGCAGCTAGCGGCAGGCAGTAGAACAGCCTCGAAAAAAAGTAGCTGCCGGCAGGAAAACACCATGGCTCTGAAGAACGAGCGAGTGCCAAAACCACGTTAAAAAATTCCCTAACGTGTCGTCTGAAAGCCTAGAAACACAACGTGTTTCGAGACTGCTGGCAGTAGAACGGCTTCGAAAAAAAGCAGTTGCCGGCAGGCAGTAGAACAGCTTCGAAAAAAAGTAGCTGCCGGCAGGAAAACACAATAGCTCTGAAGGACGAGCGAGTGCCAAAACCACGTTCAAAAACTCCATAACGTGTCGTCTGAAATCTCCTAGAAAAACAACCTTTTTCGAGACTGCTGGCAGTAGAACAACTTCGAAAATCGAAAAAAAGCAGTTGCCGGCAGGCAGTAGAACAACTTCGAAAAAAAGTATCCTAGAAAAACAGCGTTTTTCGAGAGATCAAGAGATTCTGTTGCCAGCCGCAACTGGCAGTAAAACAGCTTCGAAAAAAGCTGAAATCCTAGAAAAGACACCTTTTTGGCGAGATTCTGTTGCCTGCAGCTGCTGGCAGATGCTGGCAGTACTGCTGGCAGTAGAACAACTTCGAAAAAAAGCAGCTGCCGGCAGGAAAACACCTTGGCTCTGAAGGACGAGCGAGTGCCAAAACCACGTTAAAAACTCCCTAACGTGTCGTCTGAAATCTTCTAGAGAAACAACCTTTTTCGAGACTGCTAGCAGTAGAACAGCTTCGAAAAAAAGCAGCTACCGGCAAGCAGTAGAACAGCTTCGAAAAAAAGTAGCTGCCGGCAGGAAAACACCATGGCTCTGAAGGACGAGCGAGTGCCAAAACCACGTGAAAAAACTCCCTAACGTGTCGTCTGAAATCCTAGAAAAACAACCTTTTTCAAGACTGCTGGCAGTAGAACAGCTTCGAAAAAAAAGCAGCTGCCGGCAGGCAGTAGAACAGCTTCGAAAAAAAGTAGCTGCCGGCATGAAAACACCATAGCTCTGAAGAACGAGCGAGTGCCAAAACCACGTTAAAAAACTCCCTAACGTGTCGTCTGAAATCCTAGAAAAACAACGTTTTTCAAGACTGCTGGCAGTAGAACAGCTTCTTCGAGAGATTCGGTTGCCTGCGGCTGCTTGCAATCAAACAGCTTCGACAAAATCACCTTCCGGCAGGAAAACACCATGGCTCTGCAGGACGAGCTAGTTCCAAAACCATGCGAAAAAACTGCCAAACGTCCCGTCTGCAATCCTAGAAAAACAACCTTTTTCGAGAGATTCTGTTGCCTGCAGCTGCCGGCAGGAAAACGCCATGGCTCTGAAGGACGAGCGAGTACGAAAACCACGTTAAAAAACTCCCTAACGTGTCGTCTGAAATCTCCTAGAAAAACAACCTTTTTCGAGACTGCTGGCAGTAGAACAGCTTCGAAAAAAAGCAGCTACCGGCAGGCAGTACAACAGCTTCGAAAAAAAGTAGCTGCCGGCAGGAAAACACCATGGCTCCGAAGGACGAGCGAGTGCCAAAATCACGTTAAAAAACTCCCTAACGTGTCGTCTGAAATCCTAGAAAAACAACCTTTTTCAAGACTGCTGACAATAGAACAGCTTCGAAAAAAAGCAGCTGTCGGCAGGCAGTAGAACAGCTTCGAAAAAAAGTAGCTGCCGGCAGGAAAACACCATGGCTCTGAAGGACGAGCGAGTGCCAAAACCACGTTAAAAAACTCCCTAACGTGTCGTCTGAAATCCTAGAAAAACAACATTTTTCGAGACTGCTGGCAGTAGAACAGCTTCGAAAAAAAGCAGTTGCCGGCAGGCAGTACCTAACGTGTCGTCTGAAATCTCCTAGAAAAACAGCCTTTTTCGAGACTGCTAATGCTGACAGTAGAACAGCATCGAAATCGAAAAAAAGCGGCTGCCGGCAGGAAACGTCCCGCGTGAAATCCTAGAAAAATAACCTTTTTCGAGAGGCAGTAGAACAGTGTCGAAAAAAAGGATCCTAGAATCCTAGAAAAACAGCGTTTTTCGAGAGATCGAGAGATTCTGTTGCCAGCCGCAACTGGCAGTAAAACAGCTTCGAAAAAAGCTGAAATCCTAGAAAAGAAACCTTTTTGACGAGATTCTGTTGCTTGCAGCTGCTGGCAGTACTGCTGACAGTAGAACAACTTCGAAAAAAAGCAGCTGCCGGCAGGAAAACACCATGGCTCTGAAGAACGAGCGAGTGCCAAAACCACGTGAAAAAACTCCCTAACGTGTCGTCTGAAATCGTAGAAAAACAACCTTTTTCAAGACTGCTGGCAGTAGAACAGCTTCGAAAAAAAGCAGCTACTGGCAGGAAAACAGCTTCGAAAAAAGCTGAAATCCTAGAAAAGAAACCTTTTTGACGAGATTCTGTTGCCTGCAGCTGCTGGCAGTACTGCTGACAGGAGAACAACTTCGAAAAAAAGCAGCTGCCGGCAGGAAAACACCATGGCTCTGAAGAACGAGCGAGTGCCAAAACCACGTGAAAAAACTCCCTAACGTGTCGTCTGAAATCCTAGAAAAACAACCTTTTTCAAGACTGCTGGCAGTAGAACAGCTTCGAAAAAAAAGCAGCTGCCGGCAGGCAGTACAACAGCTTCGAAAAAAAGTAGCTGCCGGCATGAAAACACCATAGCTCTGAAGAACGAGCGAGTGCCAAAACCACGTGAAAAAACTCCCTAACGTGTCGTCTGAAATCCTAGAAAAACAACGTTTTTCAAGACTGCTGGCAGTAGAACAGCTTCTTCGAGAGATTCGGTTGCCTGCGGCTGCTTGCAATCAAACAGCTTCGACAAAATCACCTTCCGGCAGGAAAACACCATGGCTCTGCAGGACGAGCTAGTTCCAAAACCATGCGAAAAAATTGCCAAACGTCCCGTCTGCAATCCTAGAAAAACAACCTTTTTCGAGAGATTCTGTTGCCTGCAGCTGCCGGCAGGAAAACGCCATGGTTCTGAAGGACGAGCGAGTACGAAAACCACGTTAAAAAACTCCCTAACGTGTCGTCTGAAATCTCCTAGAAAAACAACCTTTTTCGAGACTGCTGGCAGCAGAACAGCTTCGAAAAAAACCAGCTACCGGCAGGCAGTAGAACAGCTTCGAAAAAAAGTAGCTGCCGGCAGGAAAACACCATGGCTCCGAAGGACGAGCGAGTGCCAAAATCACGTTAAAAAACTCCCTAACGTGGCGTCTAAAATCCTAGAAAAACAACCTTTTTCAAGACTGCTGACAATAGAGCATCGGCAGGCAGTAGAACAGCTTCGAAAAAAGTAGCTGCCGGCAGGAAAACACCATGGCTCTGAAGGACGAGCGAGTGCCAAAACCACGTGAAAAAACTCCCTAACGTGGCGTCTGAAATCCTAGAAAAACAACATTTTTCGAGACTGCTGGCAGTAGAGCAGCTTCGAAAAAAAACAGTTGCCGGCAGGCAGTACCTAACGTGTCGCCTGAAATCTCCTAGAAAAACAGCCTTTTTCGAGACTGCTAATGCTGACAGTAGAACAGCATCGAAATCGAAAAAAAACGGCTGCCGGCAGGAAACGTCCCGCGTGAAATCCTAGAATTCGAGAGGCAGTAGAACAGTGTCGAAAAAAAGTATCCTAGAATCCTAGAAAAACAGCGTTTTTCGAGAGCTCGAGAGATTCTGTTGCCAGCCGCAACTGGCAGTAAAACAGCTTCGAAAAAAACTGAAATCCTAGAAAAGAAACCTTTTTGACGAGATTCTGTTGCTTGCAGCTGCTGGCAGTACTGCTGACAGTAGAACAAGTTCGAAAAAAAACAGCTGCCGGCAGGAAAGCACCATGGCTCTGAAGAACGAGCGAGTGCCAAAACCACGTGGAAAAACTCCCTAACGTGTCGTCTGAAATCCTAGAAAAACAACCCTGTGCAAGACTGCTGGCAGTAGAACAGCTTCGAAAAAAAACAGCTACTGGCAGTAAAGCAGCTTCGAAAAAAACTGAAATCCTAGAAAAGAAACCTTTTTGACGAGATTCTGTTGCCTGCAGCTGCTGGCAGTACTGCTGACAGTAGAACAACTTCGAAAAAAAACAGCTGCCGGCAGGAAAACACCATGGCTCTGAAGAACGAGCGAGTGCCAAAACCACGTGAAAAAACTCCCTAACGTGGCGTCTGAAATCCTAGAAAAACAACCTTTTTGAAGACTGCTGGCAATAGAGCAGCTTCGAAAAAAAACAGCTGCCGGCAGGCAGTAGAACAACTTCGAAAAAAAGTAGCTGCCGGCATGAAAACACCATAGCTCTGAAGGACGAGCGAGTGCCAAAACCACGTTAAAAAACTCCCTAACGTGTCGTCTGAAATCCTAGAAAAACAACGTTTTTCGAGACTGCTGGCAGTAGAACAGCTTCTTCGAGAGATTCGGTTGCCTGCGGCTGCTTGCAATCAAGCAGCTTCGACAAAATCACCTTCCGGCAGGAAAACACCATGGCTCTGCAGGACGAGCTAGTTCCAAAACCATGCGAAAAAACTGCCAAACGTCCCGTCTGCAATCCTAGAAAAACAACCTTTTTCGAGAGATTCTGTTGCCTGCAGCGGCTTGCCTTCGACAAAATCACCTTCCGGCAGGAAAACACCAAACGAAAACACCATGGCAGTGAAGGACGGAAAAGCATCAAAATGTTTCCTGCTGCTGCTGCTGCTGCTACTGCTGCTGCTGCTGCTACTGCTGCTGCTCCTGCTCCTTTGATCCCTTCTGTTCAAAAGGCGGATGGGCCAGCACCATGGCAGTGAAAGGCGGAAAAGCATCAAAATTGCGCCCCAAAACTACCTAATGTAACTTCTGCAACCCACACAAAAAGACGTGTCTTCTGAAATCCTGCTGTTTCGAAGGAACAGATCAGAGCGGGAAGGGCAACCCAAGGAGCCCCACGTACTTTGAGGAGACTCCGGGAAGGACCCCCCACCGGTGAAACAAAAACCCCGGAGTCAAGGAATCGAGGTACGTGACCGGTGGGAGGGGGACCCAAGAGAGTCCCCCGGCAAAGGGTCATGGTTATTGTTGTTCGTTGTTGTTTCTTGTTGTTTGTTGTTGTTTGGTGTTGTTTGTTATTGTTGTTTGTTGTTGTTTGGGTTTATGTTTGTCTTCGTGGTTGTTGTTGTTCTTGTTCTTGTTTGTTCTTGTTCTTGTTCTTGTTCTTGTTGTTGTTGTTCTTGTTTGTTCTTCTTGTTGTTGTTGTTGTTGTTATTGTTGTTGTCGTTGTTGTTATTGTTGTCGTTGTTGTTGTTATTGTTATTGTTGTTGTTGTTGTGGTTGTTGTTCTTGTTATTGTTCTTCTTGTTGTTGTTGTTGTCGTTGTTGTTGTTGTCGTCGTTGTTGTTGTTGTCGTTATTGTTGTTGTTATTTTTATATTATTATATTATTATTGTTCTTGTTCTTGTTCTTGTTCTTGTTGTTGTTGTTCTTGTTCTTGTTTGTTCTTCTTGTTGTTGTTGTTGTTATTGTTGTTGTCGTTGTTGTTATTGTTGTCGTTGTTGTTGTTATTGTTGTTGTTGTGGTTGTTGTTCTTGTTATTGTTCTTCTTCTTGTTGTTGTTGTTGTTGTCGTTGTTGTTGTTGTCGTCGTTGTTGTTGTTGTCGTTATTGTTGTTGTTATTTTTATATTATTATATTATTATATTATTATTGTTCTTGTTCTTGTTCTTGTTGTTGTTGTTGTTGTTGTTGTTGCTGTTGTTGTTGTTGTAGTCCTTTTCTTCCATCTTCTTCCCTTACGCGCTCCCCCTTGCGTCGGCCGGGGTCGGCGGATATGGCGCTCACGCGCCTTTCTCTTGCAGTAGAGACAGCTTCACTACAAGTAGATGCTTTCATTTCTGCACCCAAATGGGCTTTACCCCCAGTGGCAATTTTAGTGGGAAAAATGATGAATGCACTGCTGTAGTGTTGCCGATCTTGCAATGTGGCTGGAGGCTAGTAGGTATTTTCTTTTCTCCAGGCTGCTGGCGATATTATTGGCGCATATTTGAGCATATGTCAGCTGGTGTGGAGGTAATCTATGCTATTGATTCCTATTGATTATTGAAAACATACAATACGCCTTCAAGCTGACTCGCCCTCGTTCGAGGCTAACAAGTTTCATCATCATCCTGCTGATGGTCTCCGCTGTGGCCTCTGTGCTGGTGAATGCAACTGGCCCAAAGGCAGGAGACCCGCTCTCCTACACCACAGGCACGGAATGACTCATGGATGTTCCGAATCAGAGGGATGCAGCAACGATGGACAGCACAGCAAAGACAGAAAAAGCAATCGTGTGTACACACCTGATTTGCGTATGAAGCTGGCAGTCACAAACAAAGACGTATCATACATACACATATTAGTGCAGCTTACTGCATATGCATTGACATACACAGGGAGACACATACCTATACCTATTTAGGGATTGAGAGTTGAAGGCAGCTCTGCAGCTTCTCGATGCTCCGTCATGGATGCAGCAGTTACGGAATGTTGTTGGATGTTGTTGGTAGGTGCTTCTGGAATTCTTCTGGAATATTGTTTTCATGGATGCGACGGTCTTGTGCCCTAGCTCTCTTTCATTTGTTGTTGCCCGCAGGTATTGCCATTGCCACTTGGCTGATCTGGTCGGGGTTTGGTGGCCAAGGAGCTGGAAGTTTCCATCCGGTCCTTTAATTGAATGTTCACATTACTAGAGGCTACTACAGGCTACCCATTGGCCCATGGCTCGATGATGCCTATAGGTTTAGATGTACAAATACATCTCACAAATCACTGGGAGATATCGTTATTCTGCCATCCTCTGCGTCACCAGCACGCTTTCCTCGCCAAAAGGGTCTCATCGTCCTTATCAACGCTGGCATCGCGGCATGGACCGAAAGCAGGGCAGGCGATGCATTGGAGGCGTGCTTCGGCTGAACAGACCATGCGACGCGCCGCTCTTTGCTGGTTTCCACTTCAGCACTGACCATGGTCATTGCAGCTGTGCAGATGGTACTGGAGAAGGGGCTGCAAGCTGGTCAGTAGTCATTCAGCTGAAGGCGTTATATATGGAAACATGAGAGCTTAGGTTGTCTAAGATGACTCAAGCCAACATTTACGCCCGGCTCTCGGACAGACTGCTCATAAAGCCATGATGATAGATGATTAATAGATGATGTTTGTTTAAGTTTCCTCCTGACATGAGGTGATGCGTGATGGCAAGGAAGTCCAGATCCCTGTCCCAACAGTGGTGGCAGGTGATATCGACCCTCGTCTCAACCAGCGTTGCTGACTGCTAGTTCCTTTTCTTACTTACAGTTACAGTATATAATTAATTAGATGTAGTCTTTCAGACAGAGCCCTGGGCCCGGGTTGGCTTTGGAAGCGGTAGAGGACTTCCATGGGGCTACCTTTCACAGCCTACTGTACCCAAACCAGATTGGAACCGACTTGTAGCTTGTCATTTGGGCATCAGTGAAGACAGTAAGGAGATTTTGTAGCAGCTTGGGCCAGATGTGTTTTTTATTTTTATTTTTATTTTTTTTATTTTAATCATGTTTTGATTGTTTTGGTTCTTGTCATTTCTTACCTCAAACCCAGGTGGTCTTGGGCACCGGTGACGTGGTGCCTGCCGACCTCCGCCTCTTCGAGGCGAAGGATTTTAAGGTCAGCGAGATGGCACTCACAGGCGCCGGCCATCGAAAAAAAGGTTGGACTTTCGAGGCTTCACAAAGGCTTTACATAATATATATATAATATATAGGATTATATAGGATAACAATATTATATATATAGGATAACAATATTAGATATATAATGATATATATATATATATATAGGATTTGACAAGGATTCTCAACAAGAGTTTACGTGGGGCATGAGTCACGACGTATCATCATTTCGCAGTGAACACCTCAAGAGGTTAAGTATGGAAGCGCTTTCGTAGTTGTTCAAAAGAATGTGACAGGGCTTGCACCTGCATTCAAAGGCAACATCTCAACCAACAGATGTGGCAACATTGAATGTCTAATGTCGGGAAGTTGTGGGAAGTCATGGCTCCCAAAAGTTCGCAAAGCTTGGCAGGAGAACCCGATGATGTGGCCAAGACTCACAAGGTGAAAGAAAAGAAGGACGGAGCTCCAGAGAAGTTGCCTGGCTCTGCAAGCGAGATACTGCATGCAGCGTACCTTGTAGCCACGCTTGCACAGCTGGAGCTGCTTCCATTTCGGGTAAGCTCAGGCTGACAAAATGCAACAGTCTGTGACAGGCTGCCTTGGTTAATCTTGGTCATTTACTCTATGTGCCCAAAAAAACCCAAAAAGTCAGATGGTAAGCCAATCATTCGCAGCGGCAGCGGGTTTAGTTTGGCATGTTGGCAGCCCAAGGCTCACTCCTGAGACCATGGCATTCTCCGGCTGCAGCATCACCAGCGGAGTTGGCAAGGGCTTGGTGGTCGACACTGGCATGAGCACACGCAGCCTGCATTGCAAGCAATGATCCAAACATATACAAACTGGCATGTGGTTTCCAGAACTTTCCAGAAAGCCGCTGTCTCAGTATACCGTATACCACTAATACTACTTCTCCCAAGATCCAGGAAAAGCATTATATTGTGCATATGCCTGCTGCAGTGCACCTATGTGTAGACCTTTTTCTATAGGAGTTGCCTCCCGAAAGAACCACCACGAACATTGCTGGACATTTCACACTTCAGTCTGAGCCATTGCTGGTGCCCAAGCCAAGGCATTGGACGAATCGCCCAATTGATTAATGGTGATGCCCCTTGACTACTTCTTTGGTGATTTCCGATGGTTCCAGTATCCAGTTCCCATGAGCAAATTTCATCTGGGTAAGAAGGGGCTTCTTTCGCAAGGCTATTGAGAAAGATCTCACCGCAGCAGTCGTGGTAGAGCCATATATATATACATTGCGCCCGCTGTGCGGGCAAGACATTTCCACCCGCAGACGAAGACGAATTCCGAAGACGAATTACGAAGACGAATTCCCCGAAGACGAATTGCCCCCCGAAGACGAATTCCCACCCGAAGACGAATTACGAAGACGAATTCCCCGAAGACGAATTGCCCCCCGAAGACGAATTCCCACCCGAAGACGGATTCCGAAGACGAATTCCCCGAAGACGAATTGCCCCCCGAAGACGAATTCCCCCCCGAAGACGAATTGCGAAGACGAATTCCCCGAAGACGAATTGCCCCCCGAGGACGAATTCCCCCCCGAAGACGAATTGCGAAGACGAATTCCCCGAAGACGAATTGCCCCCCGAAGACGAATTCCCCCCCGAAGACGAATTCCGAAGACAAATTCCCCGAAGACGAATTGCCCCCCGAAGACGAATTCCCCCCCGAAGACGAATTGCGAAGACGAATTCCCCGAAGACGAATTCCCCCCGAAGACGAATTGCGAAGACGAATTCCACGAAGACGAATTGCCCCCCGAAGACGAATTGCGAAGACGAATTCCCCAAAGACGAATTGCCCCCCGAAGACGAATTCCCCCCCGAAGACGAATTCCGAAGACGAATTCCCCGAAGACGAATTGCCCCCCGAAGACGACTTTTTCACCAAGGACTTGGGAGAAAAGCATGCATACACTCAAAGCCTACATGCATGTCATATATGCATCTAGTTTTTATTTTGGCAAACGGTAGGGACATTTTTTTGTCCATGGTGGGTTTTCACCATATAACGGACGTCTTTGTTTGGTTCACTTGCATATTTTCCCTACAAGGGCCTGTCATGTTAGGAACCGGGCCCCCAGTTCCAGGAACTGGCGGAACCATGGTCACGGTTTCAAGGGTTGGTTTATGGACCTCAACACCGATCATGATGACTATAACGAAGGAGGTAACGAAATGAACGACTTGGAAAAAAGGAAGAGATAAACAAACCGCATGTAAGACTTGAAAAAAGGAAGGAAATAGCGACATGAACGCATTGACATGAAAGGAAGAGGTACTGTAAATGAACAGGATGGAAGCGTTGAAACGAGGGGGAGGAAGTAGCGAACGGAAGGGAAGAGTTAAACCGATTTAAAGCGGAAGGAACGACGTATATACGAAAGAAGCAGCGAACGGGATTACAAAGAGTTGAAACGAAAGGAAGGAAGCAACGAATGGAAGGGAAGAGTTGCAACAAAAAGACGGACGCAATGAAAAGGACGAGTTGACAGGAAAGGAAGAGCAGGAAGAACAGGACAGAAGATTTGAGCGAAACGACGGACTTCGCGAAATGAACGCCTTTAAATGAGAGAAAGAGGTGAACGAATAAGATGAAACAATGGGGAGGAAGTAACGAACGGAGCAGAAGTTAAAACGAAAGGAGCGACGTAGGGAACAGAAGGGAAGACAAAACGAAAGGGAAGAGTAACAAACGAAATGCTCTGGATGCTATAGCCTCTGGGCTTGCTCTTTGAGATTTTGAAAATTCTTTTGATGCTACGCTCTTGGCCTTCACCTGAGGCGTTTCAGCACGCCCTTGACGCTACGCTCTGGAGACAGTCGCCTCTTGAATGCTATGCTAATTTTCTCTTGGAAGTTCGAACAAGCTCTTGGTGCTACGCTCGTGGCTTACTCTTGGGTTTTCCGACACGCTTTTGCTGCTACCGAGCATCTCTTAGCTTTCTCCTGGGCCAGTCCGGCAAGCTCTTGATGCTACGCTCTTAGCTGTCTATTGGAACTTCCAACACGCTCTTGGTGTGTTTTATCTTCCAACACTTTCTCTTTGCCTTGTCCTGGGACGTGCCAGCACGCTCTTGCCGCTACGCCCTTGGCTTCTCATGAAGCATGGCGCGCTATTTTTTCTTCTTTTTGTGACGCATTGAGTTAAAACACGCTCTTGATGCTACGTTTTTGGCTCCGGCTCTGACACTCTCTTGATGCTACGCGCTGAACCTCGTCTTGGAACAGTCCAAGATGCTGTTGACGCTACGGTCCACCACAATCGTGATGATACGCTCTTATAATTTTTCTTGGAACTTCCAACGCGCTCTTGTTGGTGCTACGCTCCGCCTCTTGACGCTGCGGTCTGGAGAAAGTCACGCTCTTCCTGCTACGCTCTTAGCTTTGTTCTGGAACACGCCAGGACGCTCTAGTTGCTACGCTCTTTTGTTCTTCGCTTGGTGCTACGCTCTGACCTCCAACACGTTCTGGATGCTAGACTCTTAGGTTTTTCTTGGTCCTTCAACACGCTCTCTTGGTATTGCTCGCTTAGGTTTCTCTTGGAACTTCCAACAGGCTCTTGGTGCTACGCTCTTGACTTCCTCTTGGAACTGCCAGCGTTCTCTTGATGCTAGCCTCCTGTGCTATGCTTTTAGCATCTTTTAGCCTTGGAACTTCCAGCAGGCTCTTGATGTTACGCGCTCAACTCCCGCATGTTCTCAATGCTACACGCTCAATACTTTTCATTGAACTTCCTGAGCTTTCTCCTGGAACACTCCGGCGCTCTCTTCGTTTGGGTTTGGTAAGAAGATAAGAAGGTTCTACTACTTCAACTTAATGATTGATCCTTGCCTCAAGGATCTTCAACTGAGGTTGCAAAAGCGCGCCACACGATCTTGAATAATTACCTCTACGCTTTATATTTCGACATAACCTAGCCTTGGTGGTCAGGCCAAATCCCTATCTGCCCTCCGGCTCCTCTTCCTCTCTACATTCCTCTATTTATCTTCCCACATACAAAGAATACAGTACGCCTGCGCCCTTGCTCGTCATGCCTAGCCTGTCAACAGGCAATGTGTCGTCAGGCAATAATATACACACAATGCGTCGTCAGGGGGTAATGCGTTGTCAGGGGGCAATGCGTCGTCAGGGAATGTGTCGTCACAATGCGACGTCAGGGGGCAATGCGTCGTCAGGGAATGTGTCGTCACAATGCGTCGTCAGGGGGGAATGCGTCGTCAGGGTATTTTTTTGTCACAATGCGCCGTCAGGGGGTAATGCGTCGTCAGGGGGCAATGCGTCGTCAGGGAATGTGTCGTCAGAATGCGTCGTCAGGGGGTAATGTGTCGTCAGGGAATGTGTCGTCACAATGCGTCGTCAGGGGGTAATGCGTCGTCAGGGGGCAATGCGTCGTCAGGGAATGCGTCGTCACAATGCGTCGTCAGCGGGTAATGCGTCGTCAGGGGGCAATGCGTCGTCAGGGAATGCGTCGTCACAATGCGTCGTCAGGGGTAATGCGTCGTCAGGGAGTAATGCGTCGTCAGGGAATGTGTCGTCGCAACGCGTCGTCAGGGGGCAATGCGTCGTCAGGGAATGTGTCGTCAGAATGCGTCGTCAGGGGGTAATGCGTCGTCAGGGGGCAATGCGTCGTCAGGGAATGTGTCGTCACAATGCGTCGTCAGGGGTTAATGTGTCGTCAGGGGGCAATGCGTCGTCAGGGAATGTGTCGTCACAATGCGTCGTCAGGGGGTAATGCGTCGTCAGGGGGCAATGTGTCGTCAGGGAATGTGTCGTCAGAATGCGTCGTCAGGGGGGCCGGGGGCATCGCCAATGTGTCGTCACAATGCGTCGTCAGCGTCAGCGCGAAATGTCTTACCCAAGCTGCGGGTGCCCATGCTTTGGGGTTATAGAAGATACAGGCCTGTAGGCCTTTCATGCCTTTTCCCAGGCTGAAGATAGGATGTTAAGCGAACTGAACTAAAAATACCATATATATATATACACAGTAAAAACTTGTTGAATCTTCTGGATCTTCTTTTGATGCCCGGTTTGCGAGGCTGGAGCTAGGAAGACCACCTGCTTTTGCTTTCCGGACACCTCTGCCAATCAGACGCCTCTGCAGCAGAATCTGAACAAACTAGGTGCCGGCTGCCAGCTGATGTCAGTCGATGATGCTGGGCTTGGGCATTTGAGTTTAGTGGTCATGCAGATGCACTTGGATATAGTTGGGCGCAAAATTGTATCTGTGCATCTTTTTAAACGCATTGCAATAACTTGTGGACCTTCCATGCCAATTTCAGTAGTGCAGATTTGGCCTTATGGGTTTGGTTAAAGTAGATGCGCCTAGGGCATCCTAGGGTGATGTACTGCTTGTGAGTTTCCATAATGTAAAGTGAGTGATTCGTGCAGATGATTGTACATGATTGTAGATGGACTCGTGAGAACTTACTGGACATGACCGAGACGGAGTTGTGAACCTGTAGCTTCAGCTCTCAATGCATTTGTGCCTCGTTTGCAGGTGCACGAATCGGAGTCCTGGCCATCATCATTTGCGTGCCCCGCTTGCAATCAAGATTGTCTTAATATGAATATGTCTTAAACATTCTTAAAATATCTCGATGAGAAGGGCCTAGTTGATCCTTATGATTGATAGACACTTTGGCATTTGTAACCAATTGCAAGTGTTGGACCGTTTTCACCACAGTTTTGGGATGATCCTGCACCATCCTGCACCCTTTTATCCTCTGATCACCAGTTGGGTTCGAGCCAAACTTGGAGCCAAACTGTGGCCAGATTGGCATCTTCATCATCGGTTGGCTCACAGACCGCAAAGATCCCAGCAATCCTGACAGTCCTGCCACTTGGCTCTAGCCACGAGTAGATGGCAAGAGTGTAGCTTGCACAAGTCGTGCGCTGGCCTTCGTCTTGCGTAAACAGACAGCTTCTAATTGAAGAAAGAGATTTGTAGGGCTACCAAGATGCTACCAGGCTCAAATCCAAAAGAAGTGATCACACTGCAGAGCCATTGAGCACCGGCGACGAGTATCGAGTACACCCGGTGTATTTGGTAAGGCTTGGCTCTATATGATTCTGGTGTCCGTCACCCTGGCAGTGGCCGCCATCCCGGAAGGAATTCCTCTGTGCGTCACCATCTCTCTGCCATTTGGCTGGACGAATAGTGACAGTTTTGGGATAGAGTCGGATAGAGCATAGCCCGGGGTCTTTGGGAACTGGATGCAGCACTTGATTTGGATGTCAAAAATGTTTGATAATGTTTGGCACAATGCACCACGTTTTCTCTCTTTTCATGTTGTGATGCGGTCGCAGTGACGCAAAGTCGCATGAACGTACGGAAATGTGAGGACCTGTCAGGGCAATGCAATGGATTACACAAACGTAAACATCATTCTGTTCAGTATAATATTTTTTGCTTGCAAAATCTTGCACATGCATATAACGGTCAGAAATGGACGATATATGACCATATCATGTTCATAAAAAGGCTCTCATTTGTACATCCCCGAGGGCGACAACTCGAAAACCTTCCCAAAAATTTGTGTCAGACGCTTGAACAGCCAAAGGTCCATTGGATGCAGCGATGCTTATTCGCAATAATTACGAACAGCAGTTCTGGCCGTTTCACACCAGAATAAAGTGAAGGATTTGCCTTCATAGGCCACCAGGGTAGACTGGTAGACGATGCTCTTACACCACTTTAAGACTTTAAGCAATGGGCCTCTGAAATGCCCCCATTAAAAAGACCACATGGGGATGGAACTAGATTTTTCAAGCCAAGTCACAGCAGGTCTTGCAGGAATGTCAGTTGTTGGGTTTGCATCTGGTTCTATAATGGGAAGGCGCGCATGTATGCAGAGTTATGCAGTATATGCAGAATACGATATGTATGAAAGGAACAAAAAATGAGCAGTCCTACAGGCAGTCACAATGATCGGTTGATTTCCGATATTTCCGTGGCAACCACGCAGTTGCACGCACTTACCTTAACAATCTCGAAGTTGCGCGTCAATCCAAGGACATGGTTGGGCCCTCAGAATCCAAGCCAGTGGAGGTATTTCTCTAGCAGCAGGATGGAATAACCTTATATAAACAATTATAAAATATTATAAACATATTTGATCATTCTGTAACATTCTGAGCCCTTGTAAAGGCATGCGCCATGTCGGCATTGCTTTGATTTGTCTGATCCCTCTGGCGGAGAAGCCTTAAAGATTCATAGCTCTTCATTGATAGAAAGACTTGATGTACATCCGATTTGTTGGAACCCCCTTCCACAACCGTCACAACCGTTATGATTCACAAAGGTCCAGCAAGAAGTGCTGGTACGAAAGATTGCTGCTGTGGAGACTCTGGGCTCTGCCTCCGTGATTTGCAGTGACAAGACGGGCACTTTGACGGAAGGCCCTGACAATTGAGGGCCAAGTTTGCAGCATCCAAGGTGGTAGGAAGGGCCTCACAGACTCGGGGCCTGGTTGTGGCATTTTTGATCATTTTTTGCAAATTCAATTGCATCGTGCAGGAAAGATGACCATGGTAGGCATGTATGCTGCGGGCAACACCTACGAAGTCACCGGCAAGGGCTTTGACCCAGAGGCACCCTGAAGCCCAGGAAGCGTTCG